ACTCGCCAACCTAGGGCAATACCTCCTGATATGACCAATGTTCCCACACTAATAGCACACATCCTGATACCGTGTTTGCTGGAGCTAAAGCTGACCCGAATGGGCCGGATAACCATTGTAGTGACTCTGGAGTGGTGATGCACTGATAGGAGCTGAATGTGCACTAAGTGTTGGCTACCCTGAGTAAGGCATAATAGGATCGTGACTCCCTGAAGCACCGAGAGATGCCTGAAGTGCTGAATGAAACGGTCTGGGAGGATGACCCCTACGAAAACTACCCCTGCCTCCAGACTATGCACCACTAAAACCATCAAACTGACGAGGCCTCTTATCAGACCTCTGCCCTCTCTCCTGCGCAAGAACCATCTCGATCTACCTCGCGACATTAGCAGCTGCCTAGAAAGAAATCTCGCTTCCGGTCTCCTTGGCCATCTAAAGCCTGATAGGGTGAGTGAGTCCCTAAATAAACCTCCTCACTTTCTCTCTCTCAGTAGGTAGTAAAAGGAGACCATGACGGGCTAAATCCACAAAACGGGACTCATACTGAGTAGTAGTCATACTGCCCTGCTGTAGACGCTCAAATTGCTTGCGGTAATCCTCTCTAAGTGTGATAGGAAGGAACTGCTCCAGAAATAGCTGCGAGAACTGTTCCCAGGTAAGTGTAGACGATCCAACTGGTCTGGTCAATGTACAATCTCTCCACCACCTCTTGTCGAAACCCGTCATCTGAGATACAGCAAAATCAACCTCATTGGTCTCAACTATACCCATGTTTCACAGCACCTCATGGCAGCAGTCAAGATAATCATGTGGGTCCTCAGAAGATGTACTACTGAAGTGAACTAGAAAGAGCTTAGTAAACTTATCCAGTCTCAATAAGGCCTTAAAGGACATGGCAGGACTATCACTGGTCTGTGCCGCAACAACTGGCTGAATTACCCCAACTGGCAGGGCTGTTGGAGCCTGATTCTGGGGAGCCATCTGCTCCAGAGCGGGAGTAGTGGGAGTTTGTGCTCCTCCCCCAGCCTGTGAGATGACTGGTGCTACGGAAATGTACCATTCTGGGCTACGCCCTCCATAAGACTCATCAGACGGACTAGAGCATCCTGAAGTACTAGAGTAGCTATAAATCCTTCCGGGACCTGAACTGGTCCAACTGGTACAGTTTGAACTGGAACCTACTCCTCAAGATCCGCTTGAGGTTCTACAACAAGTGCTGCTACTCGAGTTCTAGACTGAGCTCTACTTTTTCCTCTGCCTCGGCCTCTAGTACGACCTCGGCCTCGACCTCTCCCCTTGGCCATAGTTTTCACCGGGGGCCCTAGTCCCTGTCCATCGGTAAATGTATTACGTGTCCTTACCATCTGCGAAAGAATAAGAGTAGAATGGTTCAATCATCGATGTTAGAAAAAAATTGCATGACAGAATAAGAAAGAAGTGATATTGTTCCTAAACTTCATAGCCTCTAAGAGATAAGTACATACGTCTCTGTACCGATCCTTCAGACTCTACTAAGCTTGCTCGTGACTCATGAGACCTATGTAACCTAGGGCTCTGATACCAACTGTCACAACTCGAAATTCCCACCTTCGGACTGTGATGGTGCCTAACATTTCACTTGCTAGGCAAACCAACGTTAGAATAATATTATCCATTTTAAAATAATTTTTAAATTTATTAATAACAAAAATATAAATACGGAAGTAAAGTTTGCAATGTAGTGAATAATCCATAAAAATAACGGTGTCTAAATACCATCCAAGAATTTGTGTCAGAAGTGCACAAGCTTCTAGAATAATACAGATAAAGGTCTGAAAAAAATAAAGTTGTCTGAAAACAAACACACAACTAAAGTAAAGTAGACGGGGACTTCAGAACTACGGACGCCGTGCAATTATACCTCAAGTCTTCTCTGGTAACTGAAACCCGAGCAAGTTTATGGTACACCGCTGGATCAACTCTGAAATCTGCACAAGAATTGCAGAGTGTAGTATACAACCGACCCCATATACTGGTTAGTGTCGAGCCTAACCTCGACGAAGTAGTGACGAGGCTAAAGCATGTCACTTACATTAACTTGTACGCAATAATAATAATAATAACCATAATAATAGAATTAAATTAGGTAACTCATTTCTAATAGTTGAAGCCAACTCAACAGTCATAACCAAATATTATTTCAATCAATTTTTGTTGCAGCGTGCAACCCGCTCCCACAACATATTCGTTTTCAATCCTCCCATATATTTATTTTAATCAAGTAGATATAAACTTTTAAATAAGTTTGTTGCGGCGAGCAACTCGATCCCCCAATATGGACTTTTAAACAAGTCTATTGCGGCGTGCAACCCGATCTCCCAATATGGACTTTTAATAAGTTTGTTGCGGCGTACAACTCGATCCTCCAATATAGACTTTTAATAAGTCTGTTGCGGCGTGCAACCCGATCTCCCAATATATTCATTTTGATCAATTCTGTTACAGCGTGCAACCCGCTCTTCCAATATATCTATTTACCAATTCTTATAGAAGAAATTACCCTGATAAATGCAATAATTAATATAAAATTTTAAAGATGACAAGCATACAAAAATTATGATTTAATTATGAAACAAACAATGACAAATAGCAATTTATTATGGAAATCAGGGAGAAAATAGATAATTTACTATTTAATATGCTAAATATCAAGTAACAATTAATGCACATAAATCAAATCACCATGTAGCAATTATTGCAGGAATTCAAGAATTAATATTTGACAAAGAATAGGAGAGAAACAATTATCATAATAATTAATTCATGTATTAAAACAAATTTAGGATTTTCAAATAATTATGCAAACAATTAATTTGACGACGTATAGACACTCGTCACCTCGCCTATACGTCGTTCACATGCAATTCACATAACAAATAATTTAAGGGTTCTATTCCCTCGAGTCAAGATAACCACGATACCTACCTCGCTTTATAATTTCAATCAATTACTCGACCACAACTTTTCCTTTTGAATTTGTCTCCAAAAGCATCAAATTTATTCACAAACAATTCGATATACTCAATACGAATCATAGGAATTAATTCCATATGAATTTACTAATTTTCCGGATAAAATTCGAAATTCACTTTAAAAATTGACAGTGGGGTCCACATCTCAAATCTCAGAAAAACTTACGAAATTAGAACACCCATTCAGAGACGAATCCAACCATACAAAAATTATCAAATTCCGTTGTCAAATGGACCTTCAAATCTTAAATTTTTATTTTTGGAAGATTTTATAAAAATCTGATTTTTCTCCCAAAATTTCACGGATTCATGATATAAATAAGTATGGAATCGTGATATATAATCAATATAGGATATGGAACACTTACCCCAATGTTTTTCCGTGAAAATCGCCTAAAAATCGCCCTATCTGAGCTTAAAAATGGAAAATGGTTGAAAATGAAACGAATCCCATTTTCTAGAACATCTGTTTCTCGAATTTTTACCCTTCGTGAACAAGGTCAGTGCCTCGCATTCGCGAAGCACAAATTTGTGCTGTCTAATTTTACCCTTCGCGAACGGGAAGCTTGCCTAGCTTTGCCTTTGCGGACGCGAGCTGCCCTTCGCGAACGCGAAGGCAAATTTCTCTCCGGCCATTTACCTTTCGCGAACGTGAGGCTTCAATCGAGAACGCGAAGCTTTGCACCTCGACCCTTCGCGAACGCGTTCCCTCTATCGCGAACGCGAAGCAAAAAACATGCCAGTCCAATTTACTCTTCGCGTTCGCGAGAGTACCTTCGCGAACGCGAAGAAGAACACACCAGAAGCCTGAAGTCTGCAGCACACCAGATTTTTCTAAGTCCGAAATCATCTCGTAGCCTATCTGAAACTCACCCGAGCCCTCAAGACTCCAAACCAAATATGCACCCGAGTCCTAAAACATCATACGAACTTGCTCGCGCAATCAAATCTGCAAATTAACACCTAGAACTACGAATCGGACACCATATCAAAGAAAATTTTCAAGAAAACTTTAAAACTTGTATTTTCACAACCGGACATCCGAATCACGTCAAATGAACTCCGTTTCTCACCAAATTCTGCAGACAAGTCATAAATATTATAGTGGACCTATACCGGGCTCCGAAACTAAAATACGAACCCGGTGTCAATAAATCCAACATCAGTAAATTCTTAAAAATCATTAAGCTTTCATACTATTAATTTTTTATCAAAATTTCATATCTCGGGGTAGGGACCTCGAAATTCGATTGCGGGCATATGCCCAAGTTCCAAATCACGATAGAGACCTATCGGAATTGTCAAAATACTGATCCGAGTCTGTTTACTCAAAATGTTGACCAAAGTCAACTCGGTTGAGTTTTAAAGCTCTATTTCACATTTTAATCTATTTTTCACATAAAAACTTTTCGAAAAATTATGCGGATTGCGCATGCAAGTCGAGGAATGATAAATAGTATTTTTCGAGGTCTTAGAATACAGAATTACTTATTAAATTTAAAGATGACACTTTGGGTCATCACAGACATGCATTTATTGAGTATCTAACTGTAAATTTGAGTTGGCTTAATAACGACAAGAATAAGTAGAATATGCAATGAGCAAGTCTAAATATCGTATAGAAATTGACTTTTCACCCTTTCTTAATAAATAAATACATAACACAACAATGAATTTTCATTGTATTTCTCTTTTGGGATTTCCTTGTCATTGCGGAGATTGGACAAATCCATATTGCACACTTTGACATGCATTTAAATTCAAAAAGATAAAAATAAAAATAAGCAAATGCATGGACTCTCCCCGATACTCATTGTTCAAAATCAACATTAGTCCAACTTGTAATAATGTGGAGCACATGAAATTATCTTTGATGAGATTTCAACATTTCAGTTTATTTATTGGCTCTTTCTATTAAAACAAGTTGTTACAGTTCTATTAGAAGTTAAAATAGACTATTTATCATTTATACAATAATAAACCTTAAGAAAAAAGAAAATTGGTCTTTTCTTCTCATCGAATTTGTTCACAAGTATAATACATGTGTTCTTAATCCTCTCTCGATTTCTCCTAAATAAATGATATAGTAACAATATTCCCCGAAATCCATCTCCAATAAGATAAAAAAAAACTAAAAAATACAAAGTTGCTTTTCTGTTGTATTGGTACATGCATGTTAGATGTTACTTGACCAAATCCATACTAAAATCCCAGAGTTTCTTAGCCAAATCCATGTCCTTAGCCATCGCTGTTGGCGTGGCCAAATTGTTGTCCTGAAAATATTCACCACTTACCCCCTTCACTTGTGGATGTAATGCAAGATAACAGGTGGTTGATGCTCCCTATAGAACAGGAAACACGAAAGTTAAACTTATCATTTGACATGACAAATCATCGATATATTGCGCAGAAACATACGTATAACAAACATACGTATAACAAACAGCCGTACCTAAAATGACATTATTGAGAATTGACTATTGATCTCCTTTTAAGTGAGAACTGAATCTTCATTTCAGTAAAAATAGGAACGGAGATACATTTAGATTAGATGCTTTATTCTTTAAAATGAACTGTTGCTAGAATTGAAAAAAGATACAAATATTTCGAGCTCTCTTTTACTGCAAACATAAAAAATATATCTTCTCCTCATAGAATGGTCCAATTATGTTGTTCCTCATTCTGTGATCGATATATTGCGCAGAAACATACGTATAACAAACAGCCGTACCTAGATGATTTGTGGCAAATTGCAGCTCTATGTTGTCTTTGGAAAGCATAAAGGGAATTCCCCCCCACTCCTGCATTATTACTTATGGAAAACAAGATAATACTAATAGATGTATGTGGAGATATATGAAGAGGGGAAGGGATTCGTGCAAAAGGGGAAAACTAGGTAGCAAAAGTGCAAAGTCTTCTAGTATGTGGTTACCACTTTTACTCTTCACTTACATTAGCATGTTCAACGAGTGACCCGATGATATAAAGCCAGCCGCAAATTTCCTTACGGATGCCATTGACCTAAGATCTAACTCCATTACATCAACTTTAGCAGCAGGGATTTCCTTAACTATTTCTTCTTTAACATCTTTTCCAGCAGCCATATTCCTGACAGCCATGATAACATGAACTCCTCGCAGAGCAAGAACACGGCTGGTTTCAGATCTAATACCACTTGATGCTCCTGCAAATGGATGTCTATAAGCGAAACAAATATTTATTAAATGAATAAATTTCTTGCCTCTCAATAGAACACTCAAGATTTTCACTGTGGGGCTCATATTAAAGAAAAATAAAGAAGGAAATGGGAGGTGCCTAACTTTGTTGACAACTTTGTTGAAGAAAATGCGAGGTGCCTAATTTTGTTGACAACTTTGTTGAAGAAAATGGGATGTGCCTAACTTTGTTGACAACTTTGTTGAAGAAAATGCGAGGTGCCTAATTTTGTTGACAACTTTGTTGAAGAAAATGGGATGTGCCTAACTTTGTTGACAACTTTGTTGAAGAAAATGGGAGGCGCCTAACTTTGTTGACAACTTTGTTGAAGAAAATGGGAGGCGCCTAACTTTGTTGATAACTTTGTCGAATAAAATGGTAGGTGTCTAACTTTGTTGAAAAAATATAGGACTAAATCAACAACAAGACATCTTCTTTATAGTAGTTGAATGACATCTCTTACTATAAATAGAGGTCTCCATTCTTTATTTCAATGACACCAAAAATAAGAGAGAAGCAATAGAAATTAGAGAGAGTAATCCACAGATTGTAGTCTGTGAGATAAATAGTGAATAATATTGTAGTGAGCTTTGAAGTTTATTTCTTTCAAGATTGTAGTAGTCTCTTGACACTACTAAGTTGTAATATTACAGTGGTTATATTGCTCCGTTCGGGTATTGTATTTTACCCATTAAAAGAGTTGGTGTCATTGTTACTCTCTTGTATTTTTATTATTTATCGTTGATATTATTCCTAGGCGGGATTATTATTTTTTCTAACAACATGGTATCAGAGCCATGGCAAATAATGGTACGCTGTCTTTTCAGTACCCCGTCTCACAAAAGATAATTATAAAAATGGTGTCTACGTATGAAAGTCATTCTTGGCTCTCAGGATGTGTGGAAAATCGTAGATAGAGGGTATGCAAAACCCGATAATGAGAAAACTCTGCCTCATAATGAAAAAGATGTCTTGGCAAAGACAAGGAAGAAGGATCAACAAGCCCTCACGCTCATCCATCAATGTCTCGATGATGCCATATTCGAAAAGGTGGCAGATGCTATCACCTCAAAGGAAGCTTGGGAGATTTTACAAAATTCTCTTCAAGGAGTTGACAAGGTGAGGAAGGTAAAACTTCAAACTCTAAGGGTTGATTTTGAAGTTTTAAAAATGAAAGAATCCGAATGCATTTTAGATTATTGTTCAAAAGTGAAGGTTGTTGTAAATCAATTAAGAAGATATGGGAAGGATATAAAAGATGTCCGTGTGGTAGAAAATATCCTTCGCACTTTAACACCTAAATTTGATTTTGTGGTGTGTGCTATTAAGGAGTCTAAAGATTTAGACTATATGATGGTAGAGCAATTGGAGGGTTCTTTACAGGCCCATGAATAAAAGATCAAGAGGAGACAAGAAGTACCATTGGAGCAACTTCTTAAAACTCAGGCATCCTTCAAAGATTATGGAGGTGAAAGAGCTATCGAGGGAATGGACGGGGACGAAGTCGTGGCAGTCATGGAAGAGGAAGAAGCAACGCTAACAACTTCAACAATGAAGTTAAAATCCACCAGACATTAAGAGATCGTGGTCGTGGACATAGAGGAGGAAGAGGACGTGGCTACTACCAAAGAAAATAATGGACAAAGGTATGACAAATCAAAAATTGAGTATAATAATTGTCATAAATTTTGTCATTACTCTTGGGAATGTCATAGCAATGTTAAAGAAAAAGTTAACCTTGTTGACGACAAGAAAGAAGAAGTTGAGTCAACGTTATTGATGGCACTCAAGGAAGAAAATAAGGATGATTACAGCTCGTGGTATTTGGACAATGGAGTAAGCAATCATATGTGTGGATGCAAAGAGAAGTTTGTGGAAATCAATAAAACGGTGAGAGGTAATGTGTCCTTTGGAGATACCTCAAAGATTCAAATTGAAAGGATAGGTACGATTATGATCTCCTGTAAAGATGGTAGTAACAAGTTAATTCAAGATGTTTATTATGTCCCAAAATTAAAAAGTAATATTTTGAGTTTGGGCCAACTTCTTGAAAAGGAATATGACATCCACATGAAAAATATGCATCTTTGGCTTAGAGATTCAAGTGGAATTCTAATTGCTAAAGTGCATATGGCTAAGAATAGATTATTCTCTCTGAATCTTAAGACAATTGATGCAAAGTGTTTGAAGGCTAATGTACAATATGAATCATGGTGTTTGGCACATGCGATTTGGGCACTTGAATTTTGAAGCGCTAAAATCAATGGGAGAAGAACATGGTGCATGGGATACCATCAATAAGTCATCCCAATCAATTGTGTGAAGCTTGTCTTCTTGGAAAACATGCAATGAGGAGTTTTCCAAAGGAGGCCATGTCAAGATCAACCAAGCCGCTTCAGCTTGTTCACACTGATGTGTGTGGACTAATCTATCCACCTTCCTTTGGTAAAAGTAAATACTTTCTACTTTTCATTGATGACTTTAGTAGAAAGACTAGGGTTTATTTCTTGAACCAAAAATTTGAAGCTTTTTCTACTTTTAAAAATTTTAAAGTACTTGTAGAAAAAGAAAGTAGCTATGAAATAAAAGTTTTAAGGTCCGATAGAGGAGGCGAATTCACTTCAAAAAAGTTTAATGACTTTTGTCAATCTCATAGAATTCATCGCCCACTAACGGTACCTTATTCACCCCAATAAAATGGAGTTGCAAAGAGAAAGAATCGAACGATTTTTAATATGGCTAGATATATGTTAAAAGCTAAAAATATGCCCAAGAAATTTTGGGCAGAAGCTGTATATTATGCAGTTTATTTGAACAACAAGTCTCCAACAAAAAATGTTAGAGATCAAACCTCTCAAGAAGCATGGAGTGGAAGAAAGCCAAGTGTCAAGCACTTGAGAATCTTTGGGATCATAGCCTATGCTCATGTGCTACATCAAGGGAGAGCGAAGCTTAACGATCGAAGTGTCAAGCATGTATTTGTTGGCTATGATACGAGTTCAAAAGGCTACAAGCTATATAACCCAAGTAGCGGCAAGATGGTGGTAAGTCGCGATGTTGAATTTGATGAAGAATTGGCATGGAACTGGGAAGCTCAGGAAGAAACTTCATATGATTTTCTTCCATACTTTGGTGATGAAGAAGAACCAGAAACCGTGAAACCTGTGCAGGATAAAACTCCACCTCTTTCTCCAACAAATGTTGCATCTCCCTCTTCTCAAGAAAGTTCAAATGAACAACCGCAAAGGACAAGGAGTATTCAAGAGCTCTATGAGGACACAGAAGAAGTTACTAATTTTGATTTTTTATATTGTCTCTTTGCTGATAGTGAACCAATGAACTTTGATGAAGCTGTTGAAGACAAAAGGTGGAGACAAGCCATGCATGAGGAGATCGAGTCAATAGAGAAGAACAACACTTGGGAGTTAGCAACACTTCCCAATGGTCATCGAGCAATTGGAGTTAAATGGGTATACAAGGCAAAGAAGAATGCTGATGGAGATGTGGAGAGATACAAGGCACAGCTTGTGGATAAAGGCTACAAGCAAAGGCAAGGCATTGACTATGAAGAAGTCTATGCACTTGTTGCCCGCATAGAGACGATTCGTTTGTTGATCTCTTTGGCGGAGCAAATGAATTGGAAGATCCATCAACTAGATGTCAAATCAGCATTCTTGAATGGCTATCTTGAAGAAGAAGTCTATGTTGAACAACCATTGGGCTTTGTGGTCAAAAACCATGAAGATAAAGTGTTGCGATTGAAGAAAGCTTTATATGGATTAAAGCAAGCCCCACGAGCATGGAATAGTTGCATCGACAAGTATTTTCAAGACAATGGGTTTACTCGGTGTCTCCATTAATATGCTATTTACCTTAAAATTCATACTAATGGAGATATCTTACTTGTTTGTCTTTATATTGATGATCTTATTTTCACGGGTAATAACCCAAGTTTGTTTGAAGCTTTTAAGAAAGATATGTCTAGTGAGTTCGAGATGACAGATGTAGGGCTCATGTCATACTAATTGGGCCTAGAAGTGAAGCAGATGGAGGATGGAATTTTCATCTCTCAAGAAAGCTATACGAAGAAAATCTTGAAGAAGTTCAACATGCTCGATTGCAACCCCGTGAACACACCGATGGAGAGTGGGACAAAATTGTTCAAGTTTGATGAAGGAGAAAATATGGATCCCACATTTTTCAAAAGTCTTGTGGGAAGTTTGAGGAACTTGACTTGTACCAGGCCAGATATACTCTTTGCAGTTGGAGTAGTAAGTCGCTTCATGAAAACTCCTACCTCCACCCATTTGAAAGTCACTAGAAGAATTCTTCGTTACCTAAAAGGTACGATCAACTTTGGGTTATTTTATTCTTCTTCAACCTTATGGGACTTTGTGATAGTGATTATGCGGGAGATATTGATGATAGAAAAAGCACAACTGGCTTTGTGTTTTTCTTGGGTGATTCTGTTATTTCTTGGAGTTCAAAGAAACAATCCATAGTTACTCTCTCGACTTGTGAAGCCGAATATATAGCAGCAACATCATGTACCTGTCATGCTATTTGGCTAAGAAGATTATTGAATGAGCTCAATTTGCCACAAATTGAAGCTACAGAGATTTGTATTGATAACAAATCTGCACAGGCACTCGCCAAGAATCCGGTGTATCATGATCGAAGCAAGCATATAGATACAAGATATCACTTCATCAGAGAGTGCATTGCCAAGAAGGAAGTCAAGCTCAAATATGTGAAGTCTCATGATCATGCTGCAGATATCTTTACAAAGCCTCTTAAGTTTGAGAATTTTCAGAGATTGAGATCAAGTCTTGGAATGAAAAAGAAAAATCAAAATTAAGGGAGAGATTTGTGGGGCTTATTAAAGAAAAACAAAGAAGAAAATGGGAGGTGCCTAACTTTGTTGACAACTTTATTGAAGAAAATGGGAGGTGCCTAATTTTGTTGACAACTTTGTTGAAGAAAATGGGAGGTGCCTAACTTTGTTGACAACTTTTTTGAAGAAAATGGGAGGTGCCTAACTTTGTTGAAAAATTATATGACTAAATCAACAACAAGACATCTTCTTTATAGTAGTTGAATGACATCTCTTACTATAAATAGAGGACTCCATTCTTCATTTCAGTGACACCAAAAATAAGATAGAAGCAATAGAAGTTAGAGAGAGTAATCCATAGATTGTAGTCTGTGAGATAAATAGTGAGTAATATTATAGTGAGCTGTTTCAAATAAAGAGTGTTATTTCTTTCAAGATTGTAGTAGTCTCTTGACACTACTAAGTTGTAATATTATAGTGGTTATATTGCTCCGCTCGGGTATTGTATTTTACCAATTAAAAGAGTTGATGTCGTTATTACTCTCTTATATTTTTATTATTTGCCGTGGATATTATTCATGGGCGGGATTATTATTTTTTCCAACATTACTATTTTGTGCTTGACCTTGCACAGACTTCGCATAAAAGATTCTGAGATGTATATAAGCAGCCAAGTTTGTCAGAAACACA